GTGGAGTCGAAAACGAAGATGAAGGAATGTTCCGATCTGATGGTGTGAATTCCCCATGGTTGTGCTAGTTGTTGGTGATAATTTCGTCGATACCTGACAATAATACACTAGTCACATGTAATTTTTTGTCTTGGAAGCGTCACCTTGGTCACTAATCACCATGGTATCTTGGACATGATTTGAGAATAGAGACACAATTTACCCAATATCGCCCCCTTGGTTGTGGCTAATAGCATGTAACGCCCTCGGACTAGCTATCGGGTATAAGGCCACTACCACCCAAGATCTATATTGGCCCCGCAGATCAACAATTGTCTTTTCTACGTGTTTTGTCGTCACTCATGTGCACCCGGGATCATTTCCAGTCAATCACCCATCCTCAAATAACCTAGGCCATGCACACTTAACTTGGATGTTCTTTGGAGATGAGCTTCTGAAAAATAAGGTGTGTCTTGTTGATATGATTTCTCTATCAATCATATTAATCTGAATGTTATAGTGCCCCCTCCCCATTATATGATGTCCTCGTCGACCCAACAAGAACGCTTTCTCTTAACACATGTCTATGTACACCAGTGCCGCACATGCACATGTGACATGTCGTGTTCCACAACGACCCACATGTGCCATATAGATGTCTGTGTCACTAGCCCACACACACTCGAGTAAGTGCAAGGGTCCGCTCTAATACCATTATGTAACATCCTTGGGCTGGCTGGCGGGTATAAGGCCAATATGGCTAGCCCTCACCTTGGATCTAGATTGTCCCCATAGACTAACTCTAGTCTTTCCTGGGCACTCCCTCCTCACTCATGCGCACTTTGGATTTTCAGTTGATCACCCATTCTTAAATTATCCAAGCCCAAGAACACTTAACCCGGAGGTTCTTTCAAGATGAGCTTCTCGAAATGAAGGTGCATATCTCAAGTACACACGACAATCCAAATCTAAGGACATAGCATACACATTGCAACTGACAACGAAAATCATTCTCGATATGCCTCAAGTTGGGTTTGTCCAACCTCATGTTCATAACTTGTCTTCACTTTATTGATTCGACATATCCATGTATGACATGCGAAACATGGTCACCAACCAGTATATGCGCTAGTATAATATTCATATGTGTCCTCGCATCATGAATTTCAACTAGGGCCCAATTTAGAATAATCATTCAAGTATATTAAAGTTTCACAAACAAGTCACATACTTGCCAATCAATGCAAATGGAATTATTCAAGGAATACTTAATAATTTATTGATATAATGAAATATAGTTGTCACTAATAATTGCATCTATGGCATATTTCTAACAATTTTTACATGTTCGCCACAGCTATGCACACTTTCTTAGTTCACACATGATACTAGGGGTTTATTTGGTTTTTGCCTATGGTGGCCATGCCAGCCATCAGCTCGCCAAAAACGTGGTGCGGGATTCCGTTGGTAGGCTATTGCAAATAAATTTGACATGGAATGAACGAGAGAAGTGATGGGCATATGGCGCTAATTAATTGTAGCTCATGCAAACAATCACCGATGCTCACATGAACGCCAATTCTTTGGCTGGGCAGTTCTAGGATGCAATCCAAACAACCCTTAAGTAGGGATGAAAACGGCGCAGAAATGAACGGAACTGGGTTCTACCATATTTGTTTTGTATTTTTTTTACAGAAGCGGAAACGAATACAAAAACCCCGGAAACGAATACGGAAACATACACTACCGGAAACAGACACGGAGCGAATACAGAGCAGACACGGAAACAAAACTGTGTGTTGACCGGAACTTAAAACCCCCTTGAATCATAGAGAAATACAGACAAAAAATAAACAAATTGATGGAATTCTTAACATGGCTACAAAATGATATGGTTGTGTTCGTAACATAGGGTAGTATTGTGGTAGTACATGACAATTCCGTATAGAGTCTAGCTGAGTATGTGTGTGGCAGTAAAAATTGGTACTCAAATGATACATTCTGCTCATTCTACTCATTCTACTCATTGTGTCATTGTGTGTTGTTTTGTAGTTGGGCTGCAAAGCATCCATGGGCCTATAGTAGAAACAGAAATTCCATATTAACAGAAACGGAAAGTTTCGTTTCCACGTGTGTTCCACCGGAAAACGCCATTCCAATTTTGTTTGGGTTTCCGCATAAAAAATTCCATTTCCATTTCCATTTTCATATTTCCTCTCCGTTTCCATATTTCCTCCGGAAAAGCGGAAACTTTCCACTCCAGTTTCATCCCTACCCTTAAGACAAAAGCATTCTTGATACTGAGGTCCAGACTTAGGATGCTCTTCTCATGGATGCCAACTTCGTAAAGCAAATTCAGGAGGTATCCGAGCACCACATGGTCTTGGGCAAGCCAAATCGTGTATAACGAATTATGGATTTTTTTCTCAATTTTTATCACCCTCATGACCTCAAGGGTTGTGGATGCACTAGTGTAGTCTCATCGATATAACCAGCGAGCTAAGCACCGCGGATGAGAAGAAGGCCTTGAGTCTTCCAAAGAACGTAGTTGTCATGCGTGAGCTTCTAAAAGATGGTCAGCTTGAGGGTTTGAGAGGTTGAGGTAGATGAGTTGATGACGCCATGGTTAAATGTGGATGGAAGAGGCAAACTCCGATATCATGAAAAATTTATTGAAACATATCTACACCCTATTGGATGTCATGTTGATATATATTTGTTGGGCATAATCATGTGGGGTTACATGGTTGTTGCTTTAAACCTCAACCTCTTATAGACACATGCAACTTGTTACATGTGCAATGCACAAACTCTATGAAGCTCGGAAATCAACTCTCAAACAACACTATTAACCCGAAGTCCTCTAATGATGTTGTTACCACTCGCTCTGAGGTTGCACCGCTATATATACATCTATACCTCTAGCGTTGGTAAACTGTAGAAGGACAAGAACGTTGAAAATGTCTCAAACGTCTCAAGAGTAGACACATCACACTAACTCGAGAAGGACAATGGGCCCGCGAGCATGAGATCCACGGTAGACATCTAAAGAGGACCACAAGGTTCCACAATATTGGCATGTCCGCTAGTGGAACAAAGATGAATATAGCTTAACATATATCGACACACCCAACACGAGTGTCAACTCCTAAAAAATACCCTATGGAAGCTTGTTGCTAACCACCAAGTTTTTGTACCATTGATGTAGCATTTGGCGTCTCGGAAAGAACCTCTTCATTGATGTCTCAAAGAACGTAGCTAGCCAGTTGCTGGTGAACCCAAAAAACCTCACTGCGAGAGGAGTACATAATCGAGGAAGGGCCTCATCGCTTCCTCCCATGCTAGCAAGGAAGGAGGGACGAATGGATGAGGGAGTGGGGTGTGGTGATGGAGATTTGGGAGTGTGAGAGTGATAGTCCGGAGCAGTACCTGTGTGCCTCCAAGGATTTTCTCACAAGCAAAAGAGACAACTCCCACAATATACATGTTTTTTTAGTGAAAAGCTTCAGATTTGTAATAAAAGTTCACAAGGAATACAAAACATCTCAAATACACAATAAAATTACATTGATGTCTATAGACTATTGTATGACCACTACTGCCGTTAGAACCTTTGAATAGATCTAATGACCATCAAAGCGGCTGTTCTTCTCGATCCTCCTTCCTGGTGGGTTGAGCACCATGGCACTTTCATCTCTGCAGGTTTCAATTCACGACTCGCTGCTGGATCTGGAGCAGACGGAGGTTTGGTGGTATAGGATGGGGACTGGAGGAACTTTGGTCGGCTGGTTCGGCCTGACATCGACGACGTCCCTCGACGTCGTTACCCTCTCTGAAGGCGAAGTCGAGGTCCCTCCTATCCACCTTCGAACCCCTCCCGGACGAAAGTCCAAAATTCCGTCTGGATTGGGCGGCGGCGGCGTCTTGCGCATCGTACCCTTCATGGAGGCGCCGTCTTGGGAGGCTCAGGTGTTCGAGGAAGAGTTGCTGTGGGTGGTGGGTTCCGCGTAGCTCCAGCATCGGCGACGGTGTGGAGGTTGGCAGGAGGAGCGGCGTTGTATCTACCGCGTCGATGACGACGAGTATTGGCGGTATGGTGCAGTTAGATCTCGACGACGGATGTGTCTGATGGATGAGCGCAGGGCGGTGGTGCCGTTTGGTACCGTGACGGCGCCGCCGACAGGCCTAACAAAGTCGATGCATCAGTACATGCTCTGAAGATGGATCGGTGGAAGACTGTGACGACGACCTATATATGAGAGTGTGTCGGACCGATCTGTGCCCCAGACCCGGTATGTGGCTTGGATGGGGCCTCCGGATTTAGATGTTAGGCTTACGTAAGAGGTCAGGGTATTCGGCTCAGTATTTCTGCATCCCTTCATCAAGTTGTTAGGAGTAGCGACACATGTTGCCAAGATAACGGATTCACATATATTGATGCAATACTTTGTAAGGCCTTTGTGAATAATTAATAAAATTATTGCATGCATCTTCCAAATACAGAGGCCAAGGGTCCTCCTTATTTTCTAAAGAAAAAAGAAAAGAAAGATGAGTCCATAGCCTCCCCACGGTGAAGTATGGTGGGGAAGAGTTTGCCCTATCCGCGGAGGGAAAACACGTCCACTTCGCCCCAAGGCTGATCTACCCAACGGTAGCCGGCAGGGCGGTAGATACTGCAGTAAACGTGGCACAACTGTCAATGGCGCAACGACTAGTAATGTCAGTTTGACCCGACAAACTGCGCGGAACACTAGCACTAGAAGAGCTCGCAGCACAGAAATGCAAATAAACAATGAGATTACAGCTTTGACTCACTGATTAGTGTAGCTTGTGGACGCCCTTCCACGCGAATCCATAGGTCAACTCTGTTCTTCTCGTCGCTCCATGCACATCTACTACCAGCTCAGTGCTCCGGTTCACCCTGTTGCCGTTGGTCCCGGGAGATCGACGCGTATAAATAACCGCCATGGCCACACTGTCCTCTATGAGCTCACAGAAATCAAAACATCGAACTCAGAGACATGAGCGGAGGACGCGTCCTTCACTGGGGATCTCCTTCCCATCTCCTTCTGGCCTTGGCATGGGCAGTGCTTTTCGTCCCATTGTCTGACGCGCAGCTGGAGGTCGGGTTTTACGACTACACCTGCCCGAGAGCGGAGCAGCTCGTCCGCACCGTCGTCCGCGCCGCCATCCGCCGCGACCCTGGCATCGGCGCCGGGCTCGTGCGCCTCTTCTTCCACGACTGCTTCGTCAGGGTCAGCATCTCTCTGGCTTATCCGTCATGTATATTCGGTGTCAAGAGCTTAATGCCAACGTTATCGCCCTGTTTTTTTGGTGCACTGTACAGGGGTGTGATGCGTCCGTGCTCCTGGACGCGGTCCCTGGCAGCGACGACGCCGTGGAGAAGGCGTCGCAGGCGAACAGCCCGAGCCTCAGGGGCTACGGCGTCATCGAGCGCGCCAAGCGCGTGGTCGAGCGGCGGTGCCGGCGCACCGTATCCTGCGCCGACATCGTGACCTTCGCCGCGCGCGACGCCAGCGGCCTCCTGGGGGGCATCGACTACGACGTGCCGGCGGGGCGGCGCGACGGCCGCGTCTCCAACGCGTCGGAGGTGCTCAACAGCCTGCCCCCGCCCTTCTCCAACGCCTCGCGTCTCGTCGACAGCTTCGCCGCCAAGGGCCTCACGGCCGACGACATGGTCACGCTCTCCGGCGCGCACTCCTTCGGCCGCACCCACTGCTCCGCCATTGCCTTCCGGCTCTACCCGCTGGTCGCGGCGGACATGGACGCCGCCTACGGCAGGTCCCTCCGGACGCGGTGCCCGGCGGCGACGGGGCGCCGGGACCGGGTGGTGCACCTGGACCCGGTCACGGGGCTCCGGCTCGACAACCAGTACTACAGGAACGTGCAGACGCGCGAGGTGCCGTTCACGTCGGACGTGACGCTGCTGACGCGGGATGACACGGCGGCGCTCGTAGACCTCTACGCGCGCAACAGGACGGTGTGGATGTCGCGGTTCGCGGCCGCGATGGTGAAGATGGGCAACCTCGACGTGCTCACCGGCACCCAAGGAGAGATCAGGAGGTTTTGCAACAGAGTTAACTAGTGCATTCGATCTGCAGCTGCTTCGGTGAATACAACCATGGAAGTAAACTGCTAGTAGTTCATCTACAATATTTTTATTCTATTTATATATATTTATTCAAACGATTCATTATAGTAATGCCTTTTGGTGCTCGGGCTCCATGGAGCTGTTAATTCTAAAAAATGTTTCAATTATTCAAAAATCTGAAGAAAAAATCCACATTATTACAAATGTACTCCCTCTGCCCAGAAATATTTGTCAGAGAAATGGATGTATCTAGACATATTTTAATTCAAGTAATTCTGCATGGAGGGAGTAGTATATATTAACAACAAAGTCCTCACAAGGATCTATTCCTCATCGATTGGGATTACAACCATGGATTGATGAAGTTCTAACCATTATAGGGGAGGAGAAAAACAATATAGGAGGAAGAGACACAAACATAGGAGGCCGAAGCAGTGGCGTGGAGCCAGGAAAATCCTATCAGGGCGGCCAAGTGCTCTTAAAACTGATTGGGAAGGGCCAACTAATTGAAAAGTTGATTTTGAGCAGCAAATCTTCACTAATTGTACATTGTTCATTAGCAAAAATGCAGCAAATCCAGTTCCTAGCCAAGTTGTTCGTAGAAATCCCTTGTGTATTTGTAGTCCTCTCGAGGCCTCATTGCAGCCCAAGCCTAGCAGCACATGTCCCATCCCAGGCGAGAGTAGGTTGGTCGCTAACAGTATATTGTATGTGTGTAAATTTTCATGACGATATACAATATACGATATACTATATGTGTGTAAATTTTCCTTATCAGTCGAGCGGGGTTGAGGCGCTCGAGGATGTGCTCTTGCTCGAGGCGGAGCGCATCCGCTTCTAGCTCGGACCTCGGAGATCCTCATCACCTTAAACCCTAAATCCTAAACAAACAAAAAAGAAAAATGTATCAAAAAAAGAGAAAGATGAAGTATGACTTGCCGCAACTCGCACTGCCCAAATGGTATCAAACTAAGGCTCAAAAGAGTGAAAAGCAGAAAAAGATAAGGCCTCACTTAAACAAAGGCACAGACTCATATCAGCCCAACTCAAATAAAAATTTAGGAAGCCTAAAAATGATTGAAAACTACTCAAAGAAGAAAACAGGGGCGAAGCAGGGGAGCTCCTATTCCAGACCCACGTGCGAATATAGGTGTTGCCGCAAGCTGGCGCACCCCACCCCACCCCCGCGTGTTTTGATCGTTGCCCTGTGGGTCGGCCCATTTAAAGGTAGTCGTGGGTGTTGGGGCGCTGATTTTGGGAAGCTTCCAACTGTTTTTTTGTTTGTTTCAGGTCCATCTGCTTTATTTGTTTTTTTCTGTTTTCCTATTTCTTTATTTTTTTCCTTTTCAAATGCGTGAACTTTTTTTGGGTTTTTAAAACTATTTTCATTCCCATTTTTTTGCTAATCTTTGAATTTGCTTCCAAAATCGATGATTGTTTTTAAATTTCTGAACTTTTTCCAAAATCTATGAACATTTTTCAAATTTCATGAATTTTTCATAAAATTTCAAGAAAGTTTCTTCTTAATTTCCATAAGTTTTTATTATTTTTTGCAAATTTTAAAAATATACGATTTTTTTCTTCAAATTTGATGAACTTTCTTCAAATTCGTGAACCATTTTTTTTCAAAATCTATGAACTGTTTTCAAAATTGATGAAATTTTTTCACCTACATGGACTTTTTTCAACATACATGAACTCGTTTCAAATTGCATGAACCTTTTCTCATCTTCGTGATTTTTTTGCAAAATCTATGAATATTTTTTAAAAATCATTAAAAAAATTTTTCTATATCTACGAACTTTTTTCAAATTTCATGATATTTTTCAATTTTTGAACATTCTTCATTTCATAATTTTTTGCAATCTCTGGACATTTTTTAAATCAATTTTATTTTCATTTTTAAGAACAAAAAATTTAAAATGGTCTACAGTTGACCGGTCAACAGTTTTCAGCTCAATGGTTGACCGGCAAATGATTGACTGATCGGCTTTCTATCGAGCGAAACCGAGAGAGGTGCGACCCCTTTTGATCGAGAGTTTTTGGGTCACAACCATGCGTAACTAGCCTGGAGCTGCGAGGAGCATTTTTGAAACCGAAGGCGCCAAAGAGGAACACTCTTAACTCACACCCCTCGCTCGCCTAGGCGCGACTTTGGGCTGGCCCATGTGGGGGCAAGGTGCCCCTGATTTTTCCTTTCTTTTTGTTTCCTTCTTGTTTTTTTTGCTGCATTAGAAAATGTTCATGATTTCAAATAAAATCAATTTCGAAATCTTCATGAATTTAACTAGTGCTTACGATCTACTGCTGCTTCGACGAATAGCGACCTGCTGCAACCGTGGAAGTAAACTACTAGTAGTTTATCAGCTACACGATTTTTTTATTTATATATGTTTATTCAAACAATTCATTATAGTACCTATATGCCTTATGGTGCTCGGGGTCCATGGAGCTGTTACTTTTAGAAATTCAAAAAACATTTTACTTATTCAAAATTCTGAAAAAAATCACATTATTAGGGATGTAGTATATGTTTACAGCACACTCCTCACAAGGATCTATTCCTCACCAATAGGGATTATAGCCATGGATTGATCAAGTTCTGACCATTATATGGGAGGAGAACATGAGAGGAAGAAGATACAGAAATAGATGAGGTCAAAGTCGTCCAGTTCCTAGCCAAGTTGTTAGTAAAATCTCCTGTGTATTTATAGTCCTCTCGAGGCCTCATTGCAGCCCAAGTCCAGCAGCATATGGCCCATCCCAGGCAAGCGTAGGTTGGTCGCAAACCGTATGCTACATGTGTGTAAATTTTCATGATGAAATCCATTGACAGACGCTACACAGAATAACTGATGATTTTGAATACAGTGAACAATATGTGCACTGTTCACTATATAAAAGCAATGGGTTTCACAATTTTGTGTAGCTCGTGAATCATTGTACTTTTCTATACTGCTATATAGTGTATCAATTTTGAAATTTTGAGTTATACGCCTGCCGTTGATTGACGTTGATCCAATGGTCTAGGTGGCTGGGATTCGCATCTATAATAACCTAATTGTACCTAGCCGTGTCTATATTTTTCTAGCACCAGAAACACGTTAGTGTGATTAATCCACACAACAAACGCACAACAACACCTCAGATGTGCACGTGGCCTCATGGATGCCCCTCACACCATATTATTCACAACATATTGACTAAAAAGAGAGAAATCAGACCCAACAAGATCTTGCCCATATTGAATGGGATTATCAGTCGGCGCATGAACGAGACGAAAGGATGGGCAAGGCTCTACTGAACCAAACCCGGTGTGGGACATTTTATGGAATCTAAAAATCCCAAGAAAGATTAAGGTGTTCCTATGGAAGGCTCTACATGGTACATGTTGGAAATATGCCCTAGAGGCAATAATAAAAGTATTATTATTATATTTCCTTGTTCATGATAATTGTCTTTTATTCATGCTATAACTGTATTATCCGGAAATCGTAATACACGTGTGAATACATAGACCATAATATGTCCCTAGTGAGCCTCTAGTTGACTAGCTCGTTGTGATCAACAGATAGTCATGGTTTCCTGGCTATGGACATTGGATGTCGTTGATAACGGGATCACATCATTAGGAGAATGATGTGATGGACAAGACCCAATCCTAAGCCTAGCACAAAAGATCGTGTAGTTCGTTTGCTAGAGCTTTGCCAATGTCAAGTATCTCTTCCTTTGACCATGAGAGCGTGTAACTCCTGGATACCGTAGGAGTGCTTTGGGTGTATCAAACGTCACAACGTAACTGGGTGACTATAAAGGTGCACTATAGGTATCTCCGAAAGTATTTATTGTTTTATGCAGATCGAGACTGGGATTTGTCACTCCGTGTAAACGGAGAGGTATCTCTGGGCCCACTCGGTAGGACATCATCATATGCGCAATGTGACCAAGGAGTTGATCACGGGATGATGTGTTACGGAACGAGTAAAGTGACTTGACGGTAACGAGATTGAACAAGGTATTGGATACCGACGATCGAATCTCGGGCAAGTAACATACCGATAGACAAAGGGAATTGAATACGGGATTGATTAAGTCCTTGACATCGTGGTTCATCCGATGAGATCATCGTGGAACATGTGGGAGCCAACATGGGTATCCAGATCCCGCTATTGGTTATTGACCGGAGAACGTCTCGGTCATGTCTGCATGTCTTCCGAGCTCATAGGGTCTACACACTTAAGGTTCGATGACGCTAGGGTTATAAAGGAAGTTTGTATGTGGTTACCGAATGTTGTTCGGAGTCCCAGATGAGATCCCGGATGTCACGAGGAGTTCCGGAATGGTCCGGAGGTAAAGATTTATATATGGGAAGTCCTGTTTTGGTCATCGGAAAAGTTTCGGGCGATATCGGTAATGTACCGGGACCACCGGGAGGGTCCCGGGGGTCCACCAAGTGGGGCCACCTGCCCCAGAAGGCTGCGTGGGCCATGTGTGGGAGGGGACCAGCCCCTAGGTGGGCTGGTGCGCCCCCCACAAGGGGCCAAGGCGCAAGGGAGAGTGGGAGGGGGCAAACCCTAGTCCAGATGGGCCTTAAGGCCCACCTAGTGGGAGCCTCCCCTCTCTCCCCCTCCTGGCCGCCGCCCCCTTTGCCATTGTCAGGACCCCAACTCAATGTCACATCGATCTAGCCGGTAACACCTCATATCACTTTGCGGCCTCACGCACGGTATCCCCACGGGTGTCACCTTACCTTTGCCCGGGACCGTTTGCGCCTTTTGGCTCACGTATATGATAGTGTCGCTAGCATCCATATGATAAGGAGCCCGGGCTGACATGACTAGTCGTAAACCCAAAGTGGCACAGACTTACAGGGACAGGCATCCATGACCCAGCTTCGAACGTGTCGGTCATCAGCATATGGGTCCGGGCTGTAGCACTGGGCTAGCAGGACTCCGGTAAACCGGGCTGTAGCGGGCTAACAGGACTCCGGTACT